ATGCTTGTAAAGACCACCCCTGTTTCCTGCTGAATATAACCTGTTACACAGCCCATTAAACATCAGAAGTCACCTTGAACCTCCCATGTCTCGTTCATTGGGGCTCCTCACCAGCTGGTTTGGTGAGTAGTAGAAATACAGAGATTCCCAATTGCTTAGAAGTCCATGGCATGACATAAAGGAAAATTCCTGACGCATGAAACCTTCACTAACAAATGTCATTAACTGTTTTAGTATAGTTGGTTTTGAAGAGGACATGAGGGTGTTTGGTGATTTTTTTTATCTCCAGGTATGTGAGGTGTTCAGATCTCCAGTCAAGTTGTGATGTTATTTGAGTGTGTGTACTGTGGTGTGGTGTATGTTGAGTGGTAGTGCTTGTTTTTTTGTCGTGTTGAGTTTGTAATATGAAAATTTACTGTACGTGTCTAGTATGCCCGTGAGGCCTGGGAGTGAGGTCTCGGTCAAGTTCGGTAACGGTCAAGAGGATGTCGTCTGTGTTCGCTCGGATTTGGTTGCCAGAGGTTCCAGCGCTAGGACATATAGCAAAGCTGAGAGGGCAACCTTGACGGCTGTTGTTAGTTATAGCAAATTTGCTGGACATGAAACCTCCATACATCACTTGCGACATCGACAAGTTATACAGAGCTTTGACTGCCGCTATAAATTGGGTGGTGAATTTATATTTTGTCAACATCGCCTCCAGAAAGTTCCAACTCAGCCAGTTGAATGCTTTCTCTGCGTCCAGAGTTTGTTGCTTGCCACTATGCTTTGAGCTTCTAACAGTTCCTTCAGCGTTGTTCGTATCTGTGGACCATTTACTTCTTCTTTCGGTTCAGGATATTCATTCGGGAGAAAAATCCCGCCGCTTGCCACCAGTGTAACGGATCCCCTATACTCCAGCTGACTATACTCATGTAAAATCTCCCGACATCCAAGCATAGAAGAAGTTGTCGTGATAATAACCAAACATGAGCCAAGACGTCATGAAAGGGTAAAGCATTCTGTTTAATGGAAGCCACAGCTGGCCTTTTATGCAAGTCCCCAAGCAAGGTATACTCCCACATGGACCTTGTAAGGGACAGGGACACAAACACAATAACCAATAACAGCAAGGTTACAAAGTGTTACATAGTCGAATCACCACTGGAGGAAAGAATTGACCGACCGCTTTGGCGAGGTCTACCCAAAAATAGTTCCATAAGTTCAGGGATAGCAGTCGGTCTAGTTAGAGATTTTGATACAAAATAGAATAATGTACAAATAAAAAGATGAACGGGGTTCCCTGGCTCATAGTGTGGGGTTTGTTCGGGAGTTCTTGTCGAACAGCACTCTCCTGGCTTGCCGCGATTAGAAGCAGGCGTTTGTATGTTTTCACCGGTGTTCTGTCCGTCGAGTGGCCACCTCAGAGTTCGAAGCACTCGATGACCAAGTCCCGCTGCCTGCTTTCGTGCAACAAGATGGACGCCGTTTTCTCCACCACGTGGCGTTAGGTTATACGAACGGCGGCCACACAATAAGAGCACTGAATTCCTGTGGTTTGTTTGAACTTAATGAGCCAGGGGGTTGTCGGTGTTCTGTGCTTAGTTCTTTCGAATGAAATAGGGAATTAAATATGAACTAAATGTCCATACAGAGTAGAGATTTTGTCAAACCCTTCCCCACTTGCATGGCCAGATATTGCTAACCAGATCAATTTCCAATGTCGAATGGAGGAAAGTGTGACGAGAGCAATCTCGCCACATTGCATTGGAGGAGCCTGGTTGCCCACCTGCTTCCTTTAGACTATGGCCCCATGTTGAAAGGCTTGATTTTCCCCTGAAAAGACACGAAAGCCGTGTCATTCGGTGCTTGCCCTGTTTGAGCAGTGATACCCCAGATGTATGATTTTGACGTATGTTTGTATTTGGAGTATGCTGATTCTGAAAATTTAAGTTTTATGTGAATATGATGCATACTTTTAAAATGAATATTATGGAAAAACTGTATTTCTCTGCCTGTGATAATTACATTACCCATTGTGTAAGGTAATTGTATCACAAGCAGAGGGGAGGGTTTTGTGTGGGAGTGTCTGAGTGTATTGTACGTGTTTTTTTGGTTGTTTTCCAAAACCCTGTGGGTGGTACTAATGTGTAAGAATGTGTACATAAGAACAATAAACCCACAGCTCTGTCTGTTCCTGCTTGACCCTCAAAACTTAGCCTTGTCTCGTTCTTGGGGGGATTTGTTGTATGCTGTTCCAGTTTGACTGCTAGGAGTGTAAACCTATTCATATGGTTTTTCCTATTCGCATGGTTCCGGTTCAGCTGTGTACGGCATTCATATGCTTCTCCGGTTCGGTGGATTGGTGTCTACAGTAGCTGCCTGTATACCTTGAAGGGAATATCTCCTAAACGGCTTTTAACCCCTTTTATGCCAGGGTGCTGTTACAATTGGTGGCAAGCAGCAGGATCGTTCCTACAGCCAGAAGGACAGCTACAGGAGACACCATTACGTGGATTTTACAATTTGAGGGCAACGCATGTCCCGGTACAGCGACCCTGACAGCACCAGGATGGAACCAGTAGTGGAGTACGATGAGGGTGTCATGGATGACCGAGATGCAGTCCGAAAAGGCATCTGGTACCTGGCACTGGGTATTGTGGAGTACCAGCGGGGCAAGAGACTCCCCAAGGAAGACCAGCGATTGCAGAAGCGACTAGCCCTGCGGATGCCCTTCCTGGGAGAGCAGCCCCTGGAGAAATGGGTGAAGGGATTGGAGCTCCGGATATGGCAGGAGATGTGGCTTGAAGATGCCTACCAGGTGCTCTGGTGGTATGAGGCACAGTACCTGCCCTGGACAGCTGAGCATGACAAGCCAGAGGGAGAGGAGTTTGATGGACCTGGCTTGTTATGGGACACTTTTTTAGATCCTGAGTTTGGGAACCCTACACAAGCCCGGTTCCATGATCTGTATTGGGAGCGGAGACAGTTGGTCTCCCTCCCCAGAGGCTGGAAGTATGTATGGGAGAGGAGCTTGCTACCCCCTCTCCCCAGTGGCAGTGTGATCTGCAGAGAATTGAGAGCCCAGTCTCCTTTCCCCAGCGGCAGGCTGAGTTACAGGGGGCAGAGACAGTCGGTCCTGTCCACCAGCAGCAGCGTGTGTTACAGGGAATTGGGAGCACAGTCTCCATTCCCGAGTGGCAGAGTGTCCTACAGGGAATAGAGAGCCCAGTTTCCTTTCCCCAGCAGCAGGACTCTGTATTGGGAGCGGAGACAGTCGGTCTCCCTCACCCACAGCTGGAAGTATGTATGGGAGAGGAGTTTGTTACCCCCTCTCCCCAGCGGCAGCTTTACATACCCAGGGGAGACAGTAAGCCCCACAACCATGCAGATGGGACTGTGGTCTCTGCACTTACAGCACAGGGGGAAGGGACGGTCGGTCCTGTCCCCCAGCAACAGGGCTGTTTAGCCAAAGGGGAGACAATCGGTCAGTAGAGTTGTGTTTCCAAAGGGGGGACAGTCGGTCTCCCCCTCCCACAACCAGGCTCCAACCAGGCTACTTCCATGGTAGCACTGGCACCAGGGCAGAGTACCGCTGGTATCTGCCCACTCAGCAACCCACCAAGGCAGCCTACCAGTCCCCCACACAGCCGTGGTGAGGCACCTGAACATGGACAAGTTTCTCCTCTACCTAGGTGTAGTAACCAGTTATTGTGGGTGGGCTGTACTGCTGTTTGTGCTTCGTGGGTGGGCTGCTGGACTAACCAGGGCACTGACCAGCAGGAGGTCAGATACCCTGTTAGTCTGTCAGGAAACGGGGAGAGATGTGACGAGAGCAATCTCGCCACATTGCATTGGAGGAGCCTGGTTGCCCGTCTGCTCCCTTTAGACTATGGCCACATGTTGAAACGCTTGATTTTCCCCTGAAAAGACACGAAAGCCGGGTCATTCCGTGCTTGCCCTGTTTGAGCGGTGATGCCCCAGATAGCTATGCCATGGAACCCATTCTTATAATGAAAGACTATGGGAAAGACTTTGGCTCCATGGCAATTGAACTGTATGTGTGTGTTATCTGAGCTATCTGGGGATATGTGAATGTACCTGTTTTATGCAATGGCTGCACAGTTATATATTTTTATGTATTTTATTGTCTTTTGCTGCCATGTGTTCAATGGAGTTTTGCCTCTGTCCTTGGAGATAATTGGATTACTTCCCAATTATCTCCAGGATAGAAGACTCTGTGGAACTTGTTTTGGACAGAAATGCCATGCTTCATTTGGTCACAAAGGACTACGATCTATCTTTTGAACCACTGGACTAATTTGTATGATTTTGACGTATGTTTGTATTTGGAGTATGCTGATTCACGTGAATGTGATGCATACTTTTAAAATTATGAATAATGTGGAAAAACTGTAATTCTCTGGCTGTGATAATTTCATTACCCTTTGTGTAGGGTAATTGTATCACAGGCAGAGGGAGGATTTTGTGTGGGAGTGTCTGAGTGTATTGTACATGTTTATTGGTTGTTTTCCAAAACCCTGTGGGTGGTACTAATGTGTAAGAATGTGTATATAAAAACAATAAACCCACAGCTCTGTCTGTTCCTGCTTGACCCTCAAAACGGAGCCTTGTCTCATTCTTGCGGGGATTTATTGTATGCTGTTCCAGTTTGACTGCTAGGAGTGTAAACCTATTCATATGGTTTTTCCTATTCAGCTGTTTACAGCATTCGTATGGTTCCGGTTCAGCTGTTTACGGCATTCATATGCTTCTCCGGTTCGGTAGATTGGTGTCTACAGTAGCTGCCTGTATATCTGGAAGGGAATATCTCCTAGACGGCTTTTAACCCCTTTTATGCCGGGGTGCTGTTACAGAAGGTTTCTATAGAAAATAGGTCAAAATGGACCAAAACGTTAATTCTAATTAGAGGATTATGGACGATAAATTCTCTTTAAAAAAGAGAGAGAGAGAGAGAGAGAGAGAGAGAAAGAGAGAAAAGGAAGGAAAGGAGAAAAAGAGAAGGGTATAGAGAAAGGGAAATAACAGATACCTGCTTGAGATATATACATATATCTCAAGCAGGTATCTGTTATTTCCCCTTTCAAGCAGGATATACTTCAGACCCTTAACTTCCTTCCCCCCCGATAATAATGAAAAACTTAATTTATCAAAACCACCTACAACATTTAAACCTTTTGTGTTTTGACCCATATGAGTGTTTTTAAAACCCAACTAGATAGCCCTAGAAAATAGTAAAAAAGAAAAAGAAAAAAAGAAAGTGAAGCTTTGATTATACTCTTACTTGAGCTAAATACAAGAAAGAGAAATAGAGAAGATAGGTAAAAAAGGAGAGAAACTTTGAAGATATTTATGTTTAATTATAATCGATCTAGTAGCAGGAAAATTGACTAAGCAATGAATAATTGAATATGTAATTGTAAGTGTATTTTATTTGTATGTGTTTTTATGTAACTTTCTTAAAATATCAATAAAAAAATTATAATTACATTTTTATTTTATTTTTTTTAGTCCTGTGTTGGACTGAAACATTTTTTTTTTATTGCTGTGTTGGACTAAAACATTGGCAGATTTGTGCTGTATGTTATTGTACATTAAAATATATATATTCAACTACAGAAACCTGTGAGTACCCTTTACTTTGATTATATATTTTGGCAAAAGTATAGCATAGGGTGCTGCTGGGGCCAATTCATACATATAAGATCCAGGGCTCTCGCTCATTCATTAAAAAGCAATTTCAAAGCTCACAGAATGTAATTCCTTTTTAAAAAAACACCTCACCTAAGCATAAATATTTGTTTTTTTTGGTGGCAGTGATGGTTGTAAAATCAGGGAGTTGGCCTTGACTCCCATATGTAAACCCAAAAGGGCTGCACTCACCTGGACATGCATACATTATAGGGTGCTGCTGGGACCAATTTATACACTATACAAGATCCAGTGCATATATAAATGTAAATTATAAAAAAAAATTACTGATCCTTTTTTTTTCACTCTCTTAAGTCACCTCTCACTCAATCTGTGAATAAAATCAACCTTTATTGGCTGTCCCCTAGACATCAATCACCTTTGTTCCCGTCAATCATCTAATTTTTTGGCACCACAGGCAAGACTTCCAGTAATAACCATGTAAGAGATCTCATCCATTGAACAATTTGACCTGCAATCACATGACCCAGAACTGCCTGCAGCTGTGAACCATCATGGAGGCTTAAGGAACCTATATATATAGGGTCATGAGGATTGGGGGATGCCATAATCACGTGAGGAAGAATATTCAGTCAAAACATGTTGGGCCTGACAGTGGTTAGATACTATATTAGTTTTATAGTATTTCTACCTTAGATGTAACACAGCCCTTTTAAAAAAAAAAAAAATGTTGTAATTTATATTGTAATACATTTTTTTTTTTTGAGCTACCTGCTTTTTTGGAGCTACCTGGTTCCTGTTTACCTTTCCGAACTATCTGTGACTGTGAAGGGGGCACCTCAACACGGTATTTGCAGTGACTGTGCATGGCTCTGGACCACGTGAGTTATTCTTATTTATAGCCCATTTTATTATATTGTCAGATATATGCTACCCTATGAGTGTTTTCTTTTTTTTATTATACCCCTTGATTTATTTGGGGGTTGGTTCACTTTGTTTGGGACTGTGTGCACTTTACAATGTTCGAACATTTATTAATGTTAGAGAATTCTGCATGAGTTATGTATGGATGTGGGCCTGCTTTGTGAGCTTTGATTTTTATATATGTGTGCTATGCTTGGTTTTGTGTATGTGTGTGGAATGAATGCATTGTGTGTGCTATTTGTGTGTTTGTGTGTGGGATGTTTGTAGTATTACATGAGTGTGTATAGTAGTATTGTATGTGTGGAGGAGTTTGTGGCATTGCATGCATGTGCATGGAGGGCTTTTAGATTTCACTTCATGAAAGTGGGGAGGCAGTTATGACATGAAACAGCCTGAGCTATGGATAGTTCTAAGGAGTCTTCAAAGAGAAGACATTTGGTTGCGGTGCACCAAGTTTACCTCGCCTCTTTTACACTTATATCTCCACTGAATCAGAGCATAGGTAGTATTTAGAATAAAAGAAAACATCCCAGTGGAGGGTCCTTGACCTATGCTGTGGCTGCCAATGTTTCAGCCTATCATCAATAAAAGACTGTTATAGTCTTTCTTGTTAGACCATGGAGAGTCTCTGTCTTTTTATGTAATGGTGAACACAATGGAGAAGGATTATCAAAGTGTTGACTCTTTTTTGGCACAGCTTATTAAATATGACAGTTTTTTTTATATATATATATATTTTCTGTGCCTTAACTGTCATAGTTGAATGCATGCTATTTCTTCACCAGCATAACAGATTTAAGAATATTTCCACAACTTTCTTTTTATGAAAACTGACGGCATTTACTATGAAGAAAAGTGTAATTTCTAGTACACTTCATTTAACAAGATCAAAATAATGAAGGAAGTTAACCATAACTTTCCATACAATAACAGTATATATATATAAAAATAAACAAAAACAATTGTGCAGGATTCTTCAAAAGGAATTTCTTAAAATAGCAAACTTACTGTTTGATATTAAATTAAAAGGATGCAATAAAGAGTTGGGATTAACACAATTCTTTTGACCCATGCAACATTTTACTTTCTAAATTAAGGAGTCTCTAAATACATGTTAAATATGTGTAAACCATATTTATACATTGGATAGTATATTGCCTAGGATAATATCCCAATGAAATTAGATACATAAAGGGTTAAGTAATCTAATATTGCTTCATGATGTTTTAATGACCTAACTACACTATTCATTAATGCTTAAGAAACACAATTAATATTAAAACTTGAATTATGAGTCTGTATTTAAAATCAATTTGAAAAATTATGTCCTCATCATACAAATAATCTTCTCTTTATATTACTCACTGAGTGTACAAGGCTGTCAACTCTGTACTCTCTATAATATTTTCCATTGCAGTTTTACTGATGTTGAGGGATTGTGTTAAATGACCAAGTCAGGAGAAAAAAATGCCACTGCAAATGTATTTTTTGGCCAGTTTTACCCCTCAACCACTATAATAGCATGTGGTTAATAGAACGAATGCTTAATAATACAAACAATTAGCCCTATACAAATATGGGGATATATCTAATACCGTCATCAAAGCTCTGACATGAGGTCAAAATGCATTAAAAGCTGTCTAAATGTATCACTTGTCACTCAGATCTTTTCGCTTGCCTTCCCTGCTTCTAACACATACAATTCAAGAACTGACTGTTCACTTGCTGCCTAATATATCCCACCCCTTGACATGTGCCGTTGTAATGATATAATCAGTTATTCACTTCACCTGTCATTGGTTTTAATGTTGAGGCTGATCTGTGTTTGCAGTAGACTTGTGCATGGCAGGATTGTTCAGTCTGGCTGATGGATTTTTCTCGAAATTTATTTTTTTGTTTGGGACGTTCGATGCTCATTCATGTTATGGCTCGGCTTTGCCAAACATTTTTAATAACTAAAGTTTTAAGGGAAACATTCTGACAAACCAAAATGGTCATGAAAATAGGCAAAGCACTGTACTACAAAATATGTATGTATGTATTTGGTTCACACATCCAGTGAGAAAAAGTAACCAAAAGAGGGAAAAGAAGATGGAGAAGTAAAAAAAAAAAAAGTTTTTTCACTGCTTCTCTTTTTTCCCTCTAATGTTCAGTTCTCAATTGTCCTGTCATTAAAATCAACATTTAGTAGCTGTCCCCTTACCATCAATTGTCTTTGTTTCCAAAAATCATTTATTTTTTGGCACCATAACTGGAACCCAGAATACTGAATGTTCAACCACCGTGTTAGTTGTTTCCCTGAGTATACATGTATAGCGTATTGGTGATTGTAATTCATCCAAACAACTGAGCTACCTAAATCAGAATGCACAAGTCTAATATGCAGACAGACATTTATGCGTAATCTCTACATACATCATTAGCCTAATATGCAGAAAAATAGCAGTATATAACAGAAACCAAAAAAAAAAGATCAAGGTAATGAAACAAAAGACTAAAAAGAGACTCATGTAATGATGTTACCTTAATTTAGATTATTAGTGAGTTTATTTTTTCCTGTTTTGATTGAAAAGAGATATGTAAGAAGCAGGAATATGTAACCATTACCCAAACGATTTATAGATATTGAGCTTATAAGGAGATCCAATACTGCATGCTAGGCTTTCTTTCCATACATTTTGCCACTTAATATGCTGCAGCAACTTTGCTATTAAAATTTAATATGAGTTGTAATTTCTCTAGAAATTATTGTTTAGTAAATAAACCTTTTTGAAGACTGAGAAACATTTCCATTAACAAGTCAAAAGTTACTCTTAATAGAGCACCAAAAGCCATAAAAAGGACTCTAAAAGTCTTGTGCTTGATTTAATAAGTACAGTTCTAAATAGTGGCATCTAATCTGCCACAATTTGAAAAGGTATTCATTACTTGCATGCTGCATTCTCAGATATAGATTCCGGCAAGGCAAATGAAATTCTAAAAAGTTTGTCTTCTCTGAAATAAAAGGGAAGACACAGCAGGGGCACTGCTGAATTTTACACAGGCAGACAGTTCTGCTTTTTTGCAGTCATAGCTCTCTGTCCTCTCTAAAACAGCATGTATGTACGTAGCGGGGAATGTGGTGTGACTAAAAGAAAGAGACTACCCACTTATCCTCCCAATAATGACAGACAATGCATATTGGATGAAACAGGCCACAGCATTTATTAAAACTTACAACTGTAGGACACATCTGAACTTTATTCTTTTCCTTTAATTCAAATATAAATAACCCCCTCGTCCAAACCAAATTCCCATCATCTTAAATGCTCTAACCACCAGCCGGCTCTTAGCTCGGAGGGCACGTCCAATTCGGTAACTTGAAAGTTTACCTTACAGAGCAGGGGAGGTTGAGACCCACCTTGTCCATCTCCTGACATTCCATCTGCTCCCCAACCCTGTTGGCAAGGACACGCTCCCTGCTAGCTGTGACAAAACAAAAAACATAAATTAGGGTGGGTGGGAGGGAAGTTGT